TTGTCAAAAATCAAGTAAATGACCTTTGTTGCTTTAAAAGAAAATCAAGTAAATGAGGTGAAATTCCTTATATTCAGGCCTTCGTGGTATGATATAATAAGGATTCTAGAAAGGAGAAGGGAGCTAAATTGATTGTTCAGAGAAAAAGTAAGGATTCTACCTGCCCCCAGATGGTAAAACTTGGGAAAAAAAGGAAAGTGAAGAGATTAACTTTTCAAGTACTCTACGTGTGTCCCAGGGGCACGAGGCTCTCCTGAGTGGCAGCTCGTCCCCCACAGGAATGGAAGGCAGGACCCAGCTCCTCTGAGGCCTCAGGGCACTCAGTTTGGTGCAGGAGCTTCCCAAGTGGGGTCTGGACAGCATCCCCAAGGCAGTGTCCGGTTGCAGGCTTGGATCAGGGTGGCTAGCCTGCAGGGTCTTACTGGGTTTAGGGCCATTCTCAAGGTCTGAATTTTTAAATGGGAAGAACTCTACCATCAGATAGAGGTGATCCGCACAGAATGACTGATTTGCTTGTCTCTGTTTCTGCCACTCACTGCCCTACATGGGCAGATATTCAGCTCTCTCGGATACTCTGTGTGCAGAAGAGAGAAGGGTAGTGATAGCCAAAGGCCCTGAAGAGGCACTGCTCGCTACTCAGGAAACCCTGCAAGGAGCCCTGCTCCTGTTCGGGCTGTTCCATCAGTAGACCCTGACTGAGATCTGAGTAATGGGAGAATAGTTCTAGTAGACACTGTAATTATAAGCAGTACATTCTAGATGGACTTTGGAAAGGTGTACCTAAACTGAGAAGTTTAAAAAATATACAAGAACTTCAACAGAAGGCAGATGAGGACACCTCAGAATTTCTAGAAAGAATTTACCAGACTTATCAGAAGTGCGCCCTTTATAGGCAACACTTGTTCTTAGTTGGTAACGTAGACATTAATTTTTTTTTGTACCAGGGATCGAACTCGGGACCTTGCACTTGTGAGGCAGGTGACAGAACCACTGAGCTAAATCCCCAGCCCTAGACATTAATTTTTGTACACAGTATTTAAAAACTTACACAGTTCTGTATGTGTACCTAAGAAATCCAAAAGGTATCGCTAACCTGTAATTCTTGGTCTTAACATTAGTAAATTGTGTGCTTTCTCCCAAATGGTAATTCACATTGGTTTTCAAGAAGAGGGGATGCTCAAGTATTTGCTTGACATATCCCTGTCAGAACTAAACTTGCTTCACAGAAATACTGGCTTTCTTTAATTAACTTGGTCACTATGCTTCTTAGTCTGCATCTACTGTACAGACTGGATTTGCTTTGCTACTATTGGCTTGTTTCATCTGCTCGTGAGCTTTGTAACTATTTGTCAAAGTTCTAAAGTTTTAGGGTATTAACTACAAAATAGGGAGGATTACATGTGACAGTAAGGGTTAAACTCAGACTAAGAGCCACTCTTTTCAAATCTTTGATATTGCTCAAATTTGGCAGAAAAAACTTTTTAAAAAAAGGTTTCATTGTTACCATCCACACCAGCTTGGTGTCTCATAAAGTCAAAGAAAGAAACCATGGACAAAGGAGGAAGTGACAAGGAATATTTATTGGAAACATAAGAACAGTGAAAGCTCCCAGTAGTCAGGAGGGGTCCCCTAAAGGGTTGCCAAGTGGAAAGGGAGAGGTCAGTTACAGCGGTCCCTTCTCCATGCTCATTTTCTGCGTTCCTCAGCTTAGTGATCGATATGGCCTGAGTTAACGCTTAACTCTGCGTAATGCTGTTTTCTTCATAGGCAGACCAGCCAGACTCCATCTTAGGCCTGTCCCTTGCTCGCTGCCTGTTTATAAGCTAATTAGCTAAACTACTTACATCACAACACTGGCTCCAGTCAGCTGTCACGTCCCCTCCAGCGTGGGACATGTTCTGAGCTGCCCATCACTAGGGAAAGCTACCCTGGCACCGAGGGACATGACTACAGATGGTCAACTGGCACTGCCTCGAGAAAGGAAAAGAAGGGCCACGCATTTAGCCCAGTGGCACAGCGCCTGCCTCGCAAGCACAAGGTCCTGAGCCTGATCTCCGGTTCCGAAAGGAAAGAAAGAAAGGAAGAAAGAAAGAAAGAGAGAGAGAGAGAAGGAAGGAAGGAAGGAAGGAAGGAAGGAAGGAAGGAAAAAAGAAGGAAAGAAAGAAAGGGAAGGAAAGAAAAAACAAATGCACTTAGAGAGTTCAAAGAGTCACCTGTGTGTCAACCCTATCAAAATAAGTAGCGCTACAGAAGTTATAAAACAGGGTTTTTATGCATGACTGCCTAAATCAAAAGCTCTTCTGGTAGGTTAGCTGTTAGATATCTTCTGACTTTAGCTTTCTTTTGTATCTGACTTCACAGCTTTTAACACTTTTTCAGGATTTTTTTTAAGAGAAGCATCTGGCTTTCCTTTGTTTGTGTTCCAACTACTGGTAATGAAATGTGCATGCCAGTCCAACACTAGACAGCCATCAAGATGGTGTGGCACCTCGAGGCCGTCAAGACTGAGGGCTGGACTACAGCAAGGGGGAATTGGAACTAGCTGTTCTGGCTGTGACCAGCTGTCCTCCCAAAGCCTCTTGTGGTCACAGGTGGGGCTTTTTCAGAGGTGGCTGCATCTAGGGTGTGTGGTGATGGAATTGATTCATGAAGCAATGCTAGGATCAAGGGCACTAGGACTAAGGGTGTGAGTGCTGCTTGCCCTAAGTAGCCTGGGTAAGAGATAGGGGTAGAAAGAGCTGTGGTCCTCCTTTGTTGCTTTGCTACCTTCTGCTCTCCATGAGCTATTTCTCCTCTATGATGCCCTCTGCCATGCCACCCTGCCTTGGAACCAGCCAACTATGGATTGAATGAGCTAAATAAACCTTTCCCCCTTTAACTTCGGCTCTCGTATTTTGTCTCAGCAAGGAGAGAAAAGTAACTAAGACACTGGCACTGCAAAATGGAACTTTAAAAGTTAGACCTTTCTTAGGGCTGGGATTTAGCTCAGTGGTGCCACGCCTGCCCCACAAGCATAAGGTCCTGAGTTCGGTACCAAAAAAAAAAAGTTAGACTTTTTTTCTTTTAGAGATAAATAACTTCTCCAAACTTTCTGCTGCTGATCACATAACCAACACTTCCTCTCCTCAGCCTAACAAGACACGCAGATGTTGGCCCAGGAGGCTGAAGCCCAGTTTCCTTTCCATAAGACAAGAGTGAGCTGAAGGTGGCTGGAAGTGATAAAGTGGGTATGGAGACTTGCATTTTCTTTCCTTGTTCCTCTCCACTCTGTTCCTTACTTATCAAGAACATTATCGAGGGCCGGGGATGTAGCTCAGTGGCACTGTGCCTGCCTTGCAAGCGCAAGGTCCTGAGTTTGATCCCCGGTCCTGCAACAACAACAAAAAATACGCTATCAAGAGCCCCAGCCATGGGTCTTGATCTCCTACAAGACAGTATGATGTAAGCAAGAGAGAAAGAGAGAAAACAAAAGACACAGGAACTTGAGAGGAATCTGGGTCTCAGGCTGATCTAAACTGCTCTGGGCAGAAAGACAAAAGGCACCGAAGACGTCCAGAATCTATTCCTAACAAGCATGGGGAGAGGGGAGCAGGGTACGCCTCAGGACACCTGGTGACAGCGGGCATCGCAGGCAGGGCTGTAAAAGGGAGGCACTGGCATACCTTGTTGAACGGAACAAACGGTTAATTCAGAGGGAAAGAATTTAATTGGAGTCAAGCTGACCTTGGCTGGAAGCGAACTCAGCAGAGCCCTGCTACTTAAGTCTCTGTAGCAGCCATTAGTGGAGGAGCTAGACTCACCCAGCTCTGCTATCTGACTGCCCATTTGAGTCATAAAGCTTTGGTCGGACCCCTAACATAATACATCCGAATTATGGAAGGGGCAAGGAGCTTCTGCCACTGGAGCCTGCTTACACTGGGCAGGGATGTCTGCTACACTCACTGTGACCCTCACACACCTGTACAAGGGGAGAAGGCGGTTTGAAGCGAATGGGTCCCTCCATCTCCTCAGAGCCAGCCTTGAATAAGTCACTTTTCCTTTTCACCAATGTAAGTGGCCTCCTTTGACCTGATCAATGCCGAGGAAGCAGACATGAGCATGTGAACCCACATGGCTGGTAGCATCCTGGCCATGTGGTCCTTCCATCCCCAGGAGCAGCCGCCGGCTCCAGCAGACACTCCTTTGGGAGCTGGGGTGATGAGGCGCCTGATCGCCATAACTGCCCTGGACTGTGACCTGGAGGGTCTTCTCTGCCAAGGTCCCAGGCTCCTAGTCCACAATGAGAGGCTCAAAGGAGAAAGGTGTGCTGCGGCCTCCCAGAAAGCCCAAGGCCACCATTCCCACCAGGTCAGACTCCAGGAGGTAGCCAGCTGCCTCTCCCTGCCTAGTTCGATCCCAGCACCACACACACACACACACACACACACACACACACACACACTGCTGAGAGCGACAAGCAAGTACCAAGTGCTATGAATTAGGCTGGGAGGACTCTGCACCTGGCCTCCCAGAGGTAAGACATTTAAGACATGAAGACTCAAGTATTTGTCAAGCAAAGATGGGCGCTATGTCAAAGGTGAGGGAACAGCGTGTCAACGGCTTGGAGAGGCAGAGGTGCGGGGAACATTTGAGGAATTGTGAAGCCAACGTAGCTGGATTTGGAGAGGAGGGAAAGTAGGCTAACAAGCTGGGGAGGTCCAGAGGGGCCACCCAGCAGGAACTCCCCAGCTGTGTTAAGAGCAAGGATTCTAGCCGAACGTGGTGATGGTGCACACCTGTAATCCCAGCACTCAGGGAGGCTGAGGCAGGAGAATCGCTGTGAGTTCCAGGCCAGCCTGGGCTCCATAGTGAGACTGTGTCTCAAAAATCCATAAGCAAGGGCCGGGGATTTAGCCCTGTGCCACCGAGCCTGCCTCACAAGTGCAAGGTCCTGAGTTCGATCCTCCGTACAAAAAAAAGAGGAAGAGGGAGGACAAGGAGGAAGAGGAGGAGGAGGAGGAACTGGGGAGGGCATTTCGCAAGGGCAGAAAACCCACAGCTGTTTAAGTCCAAGGGCCTTTATCAGCCATTACGCGGGTGCCACTCGTTGCTGCGAGGCCGTCGCTGTCCGGAAACCAGGCTGACTTGTTTGCACTGTGCCATCCCTAAGGCTCCTTCCAAACTGTTTGAGACCTGTTCTTTGTCCTCTGCAGCCCACTAGGTCCCGACTGGCAGTTGACTATTGGGGCCCTACTTGCTGACCTTCGGCTTATTCGGTGAACTCCTCGGCACCTACGCCCTCTGTTTACCTTCCTTCTTCCTGGCCTTGCCGGGAAGCATCCGACAAAGCTTCAGTAGGCAGCAACTTCTGAGCAGCTGCCCCCTTGCTTCGCGCCCAGCCCACCAGGGCTGGCCCCGCTGGTCCTCCAAGCAGGAACAGGGCGCTCCTGAGAGGCGCGCGGTTTGCAGATAATGGCACCGAGGTCAGGGAGGTGAAGCTGCAGTTTCTCCCCAGAATGTGGAACTTGACACTGCGGGGGTCTAGGATCGGGGATCAGGCTCAGACCTAGGATGTAGGATCAGATCTAGGGCCAGAGAGGACCCTTAGGTGCAGGGCAAGTGGAGATCTCAGGGTTCTGTGATTCCAAGCCCCAAAGCCTCTGCGTGCAACCAGACAACTCGGGCCACCGCAGGCCGGCAAGAGGGAGCCCTGGGACCCAGGCCGAGTCGGGAGGCTTCCGGACGGTCCTGGGCGCCTCGCCAGCCGCAGCGGCTGGGAGGAAAGAGAGGGCGGGTGAGCGGGGAGCCCGGGCCCGCCCTGCAGCCGACTTCCTCGTCCCCGGAGGCTGCCCCAGGAGCGGCGGCGGCCTGGACCCCGCGCCATGCCGGACGCGCGCGGCGCCATCCTGGACGCGCTGGAGAACCTGACAGCGGACGAGCTCAAGAAGTTCAAGCTGCGGCTGCTGTCCGTGCCGCTCCGGGACGGCTACGGGCGCATCCCGCGCGGGGCGCTGCTACCCATGGACGCCGTGGACCTCACGGACAAGCTCGTGAGCTTCTACCTGGAGAGCTACGGCGCCGAGCTCACGGCCACCGTGCTCCGCGACATGGGGATGCGGGAGCTGGCCGGGCAGCTGCAGGCCGGCGGGTGCGGCGGTGAGCGCCCCCTCCGACAGCCCGGCTCCCCACCGAACCGGGACTCTGCCTGGGGCTCCGGGGGGGGGGGGCTGCAGGCTTGGTGGTGCACACCTGTATTCGCGGCCCCAGCACTCCTGGAGGCTAAGGCAGGAGGCTCGCGAGTTCGAGCACCTTGTCTCGAAATAGAAATGTTTTAACCGTCTGAGGGGTTACTCACTGTGAGGCCGGGCTCCAGCCCCTTACGGGGTGGGGAGGGCGCTTCCCGGCTGGGCAAGCTTCCCTCTCGGCCTGAAGTTGGCGTCAGCACCGAAGGGGCAGAAAAGGAAAGCGAACCGACTGCCTGACCCCCTTATTTCCAGGCCCTGGAGCCGTCGCCCCAGCTGCAACCACGGACCCTCCCTGGGTGCCCGTACAGCCAGGTGAGGCCTCCACGCCCTGTGTCACCTGCCAGGCCTCTCCGCCCGGGCTGCCTCGCCCTGCACAGCCTGTTGTTCTCCCCCCGCCCCCCCCCAGCCAGGCTGCCCCCTCCCACCCTGGGGTCCCTGGGGCCTGAAGACAGTGCGCTCAGCAGGGCTGGGCCCTGCACCCACCCTGGGTGCCCGCTCACCACTTCTTCTCCCACCCCAGCACACTTCGTGGACCAGCACCGGGCCGAACTCATCTACCGGGTCACAGAAGTCAATGGGGTGCTGGATGCCCTGTACGGCGAGGTCCTGAGTGAAGAGCAGTACCAGCAAGTGCGGGCAGAGACCACCAACCCGGCAAAGATGAGGCGGCTCTTCGGCTTTGCCCCGTCCTGGGACCGGAGTTGCAAGGACCTGCTCCTCCAGGCTCTGAGGAGCACCCAGCCCTACCTGGTGGCCGACCTGGAGAGGAACTGAGGCACCCTCCCCACAGGCCCTCGACAGCTCCAGCCAACTCACCCCAAATCTCTGATTTTTTAAATGTATGATGCATGGGAAAATGGCTTGTACCTGTGTTTTTCCTACATCCAGCCCGCACATGTACGAAGCTAAGCCACGTTTCCCAGGCCACACAGGCTGGGGTGCGGCTCAGTGATAAAAGCCTGTGCTTAGCTTATGCTAGGCGCCAGGCTCACTTCCCACCATTACGGGAAGTCCACACCACCAGGGGCGGTGGTGCACACCTCTAATCCCAGCACAGAAAACAACTTTACAGCTTTGCTTCCCATGTCCTGAGCCTACAGGAGGAAACTTCAAGAAGGCCCAACATTCAAGCTGTAGTGAGTGAGTATTCTGGCTGTTTTCAGCCAAATTTATAGTGAGAACTGGGGCAAAAAAAATCAGAGCAGAAATTTTGGGAGAAAAAAGGGGCCCAGGAAGAACCATGTGTAATGTTTGGAGCAAAGCATGGCTGAAGAGATGAGTGTCATTAAAAAGAAACCAAGTGGGCCGGGGATTTAGCTCAGTGGTTCCGCCGCCTGCCTTGCAAGCACAAGGTCCCGAGTTTCGATCCCATACCAAAAAAAAAAAACCAAAAGAAACCAAGTACTTTGTTCAGAGACAAAAAGAAAGATTTCTTGAGGGCACCTCGGGAATCAGCAAGACCCCACCCACACAGGCTCCAAGATGCAAAAGTATATAAACATCTGAGAAGAGAATCACTGGGTCCCCTCAAGGTCACTCAGGTGATTGGTTCCCAAGAATCCATTTTGCTGTACTCACCCATCCAGGCACTGAGGCTTCTGCAGCCATGGTCCAAGAGGCCTGACTACTGCTCCCACTGGAAGCAGACTTCGGTGTCATCCTCGTGACACTGGGTTTTCTTTGTGTTTGTTTTTTGGTTTTGGGTTTTTTTGGTACTGGGGATCGAGCTTGGGACCTTGCACTTTTGAGGCAGGAGGCAGAAACACTGAGCTAAATCCCCAGCCCTGTTTTTTGTTTTTTTCTTTCTTTCTTTCTTTTTTTGGTACCGGGGATTGAACTCGGGACCTTGCACTTGTGAGGCAGGCACCAGAACCACTGAGCTAAATCCCCAGGCCCTGTTTTTTGTTTTTTTGAGACACGGTCTTGCTATATAGCTCAGGCTGACCATGAACTCCCTGTGTAGCCCAGGCTGGCCTTGAACTCACCACGATCCTCCTGCCTCAGCTTCCCAAGTGCTGGGATTTCAGGTGTACACCACCATGCACGGCTTGACACTGGTTTTACTAGCATGCAGAATCTGAGAGTTATGAGGTCAGGGAGGTTTCCACCTACATTTCAAAGGAAGGCTGAGGAACCCAGGCAAAAAGCCACTGAGATCTGAGTATGAAGCTGTGGGAATGAAGTTGAAACTGTCAGGGCCATGGACTGTCTGCCACGGAAATCTGCAGACTGCGAGCAGAGCAGGCCCAAGAGGCCCTGTGAGCTGCAACCAGAGGCCACAGGGTAGGACTGGACAAGCCCACTGAACCCACATCTCACCACATGTGCCCCAGATACCAGATAGAAGACTACAGGACTCAGCATTTGTCTTGCTTTGGTCCAGTTCTTTATCTCCCTATTCCTTCCTTTTAGAATAGGAATGATTACCCTGTGCCATAGACCTTGGGATTGTGTAACTTGTCTGACTTTTTTTTACAGAGGATCACACTGTTTGCCTTAAGTTAGCAGAGACTTTGGCTTGGACTTTTAGAAATGCTAAAGCTGGGCTGGGAATTTACCCCAGTGGTTCCACTGCCTGCCTTGCAAGGGCAAGATCCTGAGTTCAATCCCTGGTACAAAAAAAAAAAAAAATGCTAGAACTGTTGTTTCTGAGGAAGAGATTATTGCATTTTCAACTGTATGCAAGACAGTTGAACTGTTTTAGTGCTGAGACCCACACAGTGTAGGGTCCAAAGCTGGGGAGAGTGGTGGGAGATGAAGCAGAAAGGAAGAAAAAGACTATTCCGGGAAGTTGGGACCGGGTGGAACCATAGCTCGTGGGCAGCTAATGGCTGAGCCCCACCCTCTGTATCTATAGTGGGAGGCAAACAGGAGGGGAGGGGAAGTAGTGCTGCTTGGCCTAGGTGGACTCAGCCTGGTGGTTTGGTGGTTTCGAGATCCATAGGGCATGCGGAGGAAGGGGACAGGGAGGGTCACAGTGCAGCCCTCCTGGGGCGGTGCCTCGGTCTCCAATCTTAGTCAGACAGACTGTGTCCGTGCTGTTTGACTTGTCCAGACTACAGAGAAGAAGGGAATGGGGATTAGGCAAGGGCCATCTTCAGGCTGGGCCTGCGGCATGGAACTATCAGCTTGCGGTTTATTTGGAAAGTAAGTGCAGTTTAGGACCTGTCAGTCGGGTGTCAAGTTGACACAGGGCGGAATGTGTGGCTGCATCTGTGTCAGCCTGATGGGCCTGAGAGCCACTGGGTTTGGCCAACACTCCTCAGCATCTGGCCGGGTTGTGGCTGGCATGACCTTGGGTACTATTCAGCCCCCTTGCCCCTTCCTCTGGGGCGCTGTTCCCCTGCGCCCTGCCTCCCAGCCACTATGGACCGAGCATCTCTGCTCCTCCACACCCTCCCACCATGATGCTTCTGCTGAGGAACCAGCTAACCACCGACTAAATCTTAAAACCGTCAAATTACACCTTTCCTGTTCTAAAAGTCCTTTGACACATTCACAGTGAGGCCCTAATTTGTATGTCTTGCTACCAGGCAGCTGTGATTTGAATTTGATTGTCCTGCTGGCTTGAACCACCCATGGTACATGCATGAATGTCCCATTAGGTGGCTTGTACCACTGACTGATAAAAGCGATTAGATCCATTTGTACTATCAGCAGTCTTTTTACTAATAAAACTAAAAGTCTATAAATGGACCAAATTAGTTGTTTGAATTTGAATAATTACTGCCCAAATATAAATATCATTCATACCAATTAAAATATTACAATAATCTAACACTCCAATGGGAAAAAATTTTACAAAACTGAAATACCCTTAAAATTGAAAAATGTAGCCAGGCATGGTGGCACACACCTATAATCCCAGCACTCAGGAGGCAAAGGCAGGAAAACTGCCATGAGTTCGAGGCCAGCCTGGGCCACATAGTGAGACCCTGACTCAAAGAGAAGAAAAAAAGGAAAATGTACAGGCCATAACATATATATATATATATAACTTACAAATAAATATTCCAAACAAATATGAGAAGAACCACCAAGGAACAACAAGGAATAAAAACAGAAAAGTTTACCACTGAGCTTAATAATCTAGCCATGAAATAACAATGACTTTTTATTTTAGCATCTTATGTTAAGGAAAACATGCCAGGTGTAGTAGTGCACACCTATAATCCTAGTACTTAAGAGGCTGATGGGCTGGGGATGTAGCTCAGTGGCAACACACCTGCCTCGCAAACACAAGGTCCTGAGTTCAATCCCTCCAGTGGGGGGGGGGCAGGATCCCCAGTGAGTTCAAGCCAGCCTGGACGACGTAGTGAGACCCTGTCTCAAAAAAGAAGCAAGGGGCCCATGGATTTAGCTCAGTGGTTCCACTGCCTGCCTTGCAAGGACAAGGACCCAAGTTTGATCCCTGGTACCAAAAAGAAAAAAAAAAAAAGAAGCAAGGGCCGGGATTTAGCTCAGTGGTGCTGCCACCTGCCTTGAAAGCGCAAGGTCCTGAGTTCAATCCCTGGTACCAAAAAAAAGAGGAAAATATTAAAATAGCATGAAATACAACTAATTTGTAAGATTTGCATGTTAAATTTAGAGAATTAACTATAGCTAAACTATTAACCCATGAAGAAATGCCACAGGCACAAATTACTCAAAAAACTATACACTTTATAGAAGCTAATTTAGGATCAGCAAGAAACACATGCCAGGGGCCAGGGATTTAGCTCAGTGGTTCTGCCGCCTGCCTTGAAAGGGCAAGGTCCCGAGTTCGATCCCCGGTACCAAAAAAAAAAAAAAGAAAGAAAAGAAACACATGCAAGCAATGTAGAAAATGTTACAGAAAATTATATGAAAAAATTGGTGCTGCTGTGGCCACAAAAAGAGCCAAACATGATACAACGTTTTGCACAATCTGCATAAACCAGCCACCTCTATATATAAAGTATTTTTAATTCACTAATATAAATGTAATGAAATAAATTTCATTGCAGTAATTTTGATGCATATGAATAGTACTTATTTTTATATCTGGGTGCTAATTATTCCAATTCAAGCAACTAACTAGAGTTAGTCCATTAATAGATTTTTGTTAGTTTTATAAGTAAAAAGGCCAATAAAAAGGGATTAGATGCATTTGTGCCACCAGCAGTTCAGGCCGGAGGGAACATGTTGTGTTAGGTATTGCGTCCCAGTGACGGGGCATCTGGATCTGGCAGACACCTAGGTTTTTCCCAGCTTCTCCTTCCCACTCTCCTTTTCACATACACAATTCTAGCCACACTACAAGGTTGATCAGAAGATACAGAGAGAGCCGGTGTGGTGTCATGTGCCTGTGAGTCCAATGCTCAGGAGGCTGAGTCAGGAGGATTGCTGTGAGTCTGAGGCCAGCCTGTGATATACAGAGTTCAAGGCCAGCCATCTCAGAAAAACAAAAAAGGAAAAAAAAAGATATGGTAAATGTTTTAATTTTTCAAAACTTATTATAGTGAAAGACACATTACACAGGACAATGCAATAAGTGTATTTGGAGCAAGAGAGAATTTTTAATATTTTGAAGGGGGTTAGTGGCAATGTGTCTTTTATTATAAACTTTTAAAACATTGCCTATATTTCTTGATAACCCCACAATGATCAAGCACTTATAGCAACTTCTGTCACATAGTAACATTATGCTGTGTTCTAACCCACTGCATGGTGGTACCTCGGTTCACAGACCTAATTCTTCCCACGATTCCGGTCGAGGAGGAGAACCAAATCAAATGCAATGGTTAGCTTCAACGTTGACCTTATAGGGAAATTTGATTTGGTTCTCGTCCAGTGCAGTTTGCAACCAGAATCGTAGAAAGAATTAAGTTCATGAGCTGAACTGTACTTGTCCATCTAGAACTGTGCAATTTCTGGCTCTCCCTCAAAGTCAAAATGACCATAAAAGGTAAACGCTTTAAATTAACTTAGCAATCGAGCCATTAGCAACAGTACAACTAAAGACACACAAAAGAGGACTTCAGAGCTGCTTTACAAAGTTATCGAGAATGACAGGATAAGTATGTTTGAAGCAAGGGAGGATATTTTGAGAAGAATTTATAGGAATGTGTCTTTTACTGTAATAAAAAAATTGAAATAGTAATTTAAACATTCACTGTATTTTTGATCATACATTATGTGCTTACTCTGTGGTCACATCCAGTCCCACGCACTTGGCACACATGCTGATCCCTGAGCTCTGGACAACCTAAAATGTCCTTTCTGTCCCACCAGGTCCAAGTCCATGCCTTCCTCTGGCTCCAGTGCCCCTCACCCCAGCCTACTTT